TTTACACTGTATTTTCTTTTTCTTAAAAATCCTATAAATTTATCTTAAATAAAAAAACCTACTGTACTCTGTAATGTACTGACCCCTGAACTATGCGTCACTTACTACAGACCCCTTCTGTGTCACTTAATACTAGCCACTGAACTCTGTCACTTGCTACTGACCTCTGAACTTTTGCGGCATTTACTGATGTCCCCTGAACTCTGCATCGCTTACTATTGACCTCTGAACTTTTGCGGCATTTACTAATCTCCCCTGAACTCTGCATCCCTTACAATGACCTCTGAACTTTTGCGGCATTTACTAATGTCCCTTAAACTCTGCATCCCTTACTACTGACCTCTGAACTTTTGCGGCATTTACTAATGTGCCTTGAACTCTGCATCCCTTACTACTGACCTCTGAACTTGGCATCACTTACTACTGACCTCTGAAGTCAGCATCATTTGCTAGTGACCTCTAAACTCAGCATCACTTACTACTGACCTCTGAACTCGAGATCATTTACTACTGAACCTTGGCCTCTGCAACATTTGCTACTAACCTCTGAACTCTGCATCACTCACTACAGATCTCTGCACTCTGCATCACTTACTACTGCCCCCCCTGAACTCTGCATCACTTACTACTGATCTCTGCACTCTGCATCACTTACTACTGCCCCCTGAACTCTGCATCACTTACTATTGATCTCTGCACTCTGCATCACTTACTACTGCCCCCTGAACTCTGCATCACTTACTACTGATCTCTGAAGTCAGCATCATTTGCTAGTGACCTCTAAACTCAGCATCACTTACTACTGACCTCTGAACTCGAGATCATTTACTACTGAACCTTGGCCTCTGCAACATTTGCTACTAACCTCTGAACTCTGCATCACTCACTACAGATCTCTGCACTCTGCATCACTTACTACTGCCCCCTGAACTCTGCATCACTTACTACTGATCTCTGCACTCTGCATCACTTACTACTGCCCCCTGAACTCTGCATCACTTACTATTGATCTCTGCACTCTGCATCACTTACTACTGCCCCCTGAACTCTGCATCACTTACTACTGATCTCTGCACTCTGCATCACTTACTACTGATCTCTGCACTCTGCATCACTTACTACTGATCTCTGCACTCTGCATCACTTACTACTGCCCCCTGAACTCTGCATCACTTACTACTGATCTCTGCACTCTGCATCACTTACTACTGATCTCTGCACTCTGCATCACTTACTACTGCCCCCTGAACTCTGCATCACTTACTACTGATCTCTGCACTCTGCATCACTTACTACTGATCTCTGCACTCTGCATCACTTACTACTGCCCCCTGAACTCTGCATCACTTACTACTGCCCCCTAAACTCTGCATCACTTACTACTGATCTCTGCACTCTGCATCACTTACTACTGCTCCCTGAACTCTGCATCACTTACTACTGATCTCTGCACTCTGCATCACTTACTACTGCCCCCTGAACTCTGCATCACTTACTACTGCCCCCTGAACTCTGCATCACTTACTACTGCTCCCTGAACTCTGCATCACTTACTACTGATCTCTGCACTCTGCATCACTTACTACTGATCTCTGCACTCTCTGTCACTGACTACTGACCCTTGAATTCTGCATCACAAACTACTGATCTCCACACTCTGCATCACTTACTACTGACCCGTTTACTCTGCGTCACTTACTACTGACCCGTTTACTCTGCATCACTTACTACTGACCCATTTACTCTGCGTCACTTACTACTGACCCGTGTACTCTGTGTCACCTACTGCTTATCCCTGAACCCCCAGAAGAATCTTTCACCCTCCCTCCCTGCACTACATGCTTCCACATGAGAGAAACAGAGTGTGCACAGAAAACCTAAAATGCACATTTGTCAAGGGTGCACCTTGTATGACATTTATGTTTGTGTTATGCAGATGTAATAATAATAATTATGATAATAATAATAATAACAATACTTAATATGAAAACACTAGCACAATGGCTAAGTGGTTAGTGCTTCCACCTAACTGCATTAGCGTCGTTGGTTTGAATCCCAACCACGGCACTACCTGTGTGGAGTTTGCATGTTCTCCCTGTGCCTGCGTGGGTTTCCTCCAGGTACTCCAGTTTCCTCCCACAAAGACATGCTGGTAGGTTAACTGGCCCTAATATGTGTATGTATGAATGTGAATTAGGGACCTTAGATTGTAAGTTCCAGGGAAATGTTGCCTGTGGCATAGCCGAGACTTGTAGCCGCACACGAATGCGTAGGTGCGGGCCTGCAGGTGCTAGTACTGTTGTGTGTAGGCGGACGCATATGCGCACACATATGCGCAGACGTGCACAGAAATATGCATTGGCTAATTCTGGCGCCTACAGGCCTATATAGGTGCAGCAGCTGCACTAGTGAATTGCTGTCTGATCTGCAGCTCTCCCTGTGTTCCTGTGGCCATTCCTGTATTGATACCCCTGAATGACGAGGCTTATCCTAACCTTGCTTGAACGCTACCTGCACTGACCTCGGCTTGCTTCTTGGATTCTGTCTCTGCCTATGGTATCTGCCTGATCTGCCTCTCTGCTGACATTGACCTGTGACCTGACCCTTCTTCTGCCTTCCGTTTGTGCTTACCTGCCCGCCTGTTACTGACCCGGCCCATCTGACCCTGCATCCAGCTTCGCCTGCTACCAGCCTGCTCCGCTGTGTCATCTGCCTGCTGTCAGCCTGCCTGCTACCAGCCTGCTCTGCAGTGATATCTGCCTACAACCCGCTACTTCACTCCTGGCATCCACTCAGCAAGTCGTCAGCTATTCCTCTGCAGGCTACTGGACTGATCAGGCACTCATACCCCGCCATGCTCTCGCGGTTGCTGTCCCACCTTCAGTGGCCCCAGAGCCGGAGCTGTACGAGAGGCCTTCCTCTACAGTCAGGCTCCCTAACGAGGTATGTGACAGTAAGCTTTTTCAGGGTTAGGGACTGATGTGAATGTACAAAATACGTAAAGTGCTGCATAAATTGATGGTGCTATATAAGTACTTGTAATAAATATGAATAAATAAAAACTTAATAGGAATAAAAAAGCATTACAGTTTCCCTATGCTTAAGCATCTGTCAAACAGCCTGGCCAATAATACAAAATGTGATATTTACAGTCTTGACTGTGTTTATGTCTATGTGTTCATTAGTGGTTATAAAACAAATTACACACGCAGCAGCCAAAACAAGCTACCTGGCTTATCCTAAGGCAATGTAAATCTGTTGAACAGACCCTACTTGGTCATCAGGATATTCTTGCAGGGAGCAACTCTGAATCACCTACTACTGATGCTTGTACCTTGCTTTGCTTACTACTTATCTCTGAACTCAGCGTTGCTAACTACTGACTAACTACTGTCACTTACTACTGACCTCTGAATTCTGCTACTGACCCCTGAATTCTACATCACTTACTACTGACCCCTGAACTCTGCATCATTTACTATTGACTCCTATATTCTACATCACTTACTACTGACCTCTGAATTCTGCTACTGACCCCTGAATTCTACATCACTTACTACTGACCCTTGAACTCTGCATCATTTACTATTGACTCCTATATTCTACATCACTTACTACTGACCTCTGAATTCTGCTACTGACCCCTGAATTCTACATCACTTACTACTGACCCCTGAACTCTGCATCATTTACTATTGACTCCTATATTCTACGTCACTTACTAATGACCTCTGAAGTTTGCGTCACTTACTACTGACCCTTGTACTATGCATCATTTACTAGTAACATTTGAACTCTGCATCAAACTCTGCATGCCAATGTCTAATGATGGACCTTGACATCCCCAACGTACCTGCATGGATACTGTGGAGTACATTCCCTATACAACACTGTCTCATGGTTACATAGTTAGTCTGGTTTAAAAAAGGCACAAGTCCATCTAATTCAACCAATAGAAAGAAACACACAAATAGAAACCCTCCATATACAAAATCCTATACTCACAGTTGATCTACAGGAAGGCAAAAAATCCCAATAGAACATAATCCAATTTACTCCAGCAGGGGAAAAAATCCCTTCCTGATTTCCCAGGAGGCAATCAGATATTCCCTGGATCAACTACCTCTGTTGCTAATATCTATAAATATAGGTGTCCAGTTATATTTTGTGCAATTAGGAAAGAATCCAGGCCTTTTTTAAAACAATCTACTAAGCTGGCCAGAGCCAGCACTTGAGGCAGTTTCTTTCCACATTTTCACAGCTCTTACTGTAAAGAAGCATTTCTGTATTTGAAGGTTACATTTTTTTCCTACACTCTGCAAGTCATCTCATATGCTATATAACAACGCTCCTTTAAGCCACACCCAATATTGAGTACAATGAAAACCACATCCACTGTTTGCTGTAAGGTGTGTAGCGCATCACATTTTTTTCACAGGCAAGGGGAACAACTTATGATTTTGCACAGGCTCACTGCACTCTTCCAGAGTTACTCTTTCACCCTCACGCCCTGCTCTGCATGCTTCCACATGGAGTACATGGAATTAGAAAAGGAGACTGTACATAGAAAGCCTAGGATTCAGGTGTGCACTCTCTATGACAATTTATCATGTTATAAGCATGTAATAATATTAATAAAGATAATAAAAAAAAAAACATAAAAATATCAGTTTAACCACTTGCCTACAGGGCACTTATACCCCCTTCCTGCCCAGGCCAATTTCCAGCTTTCAGCGCAGTCACACTTTGAATGACAATTGCACGGTCATGCAACACTGTACCCATATGACATTTTTATCATTTTTTTGTGACAGATAGAGCTTTATTTTGGTGGTATTTAATCACCTCTGGAATTTTTATTTTTTCTTAAACAAACCAAAAACCACTGAAAATTTAAAAAACTGACAGGCAGCACTGATAGGCAGCACTGACTGGCACTGATAGGGCGGCACTGACTGGCACTGATAAGCGGCACTGATGCGCACTGATAGGCGCCACTGACTGGCACTGATTGGCAGCACTGATTGGCATTGATAGGTGGCACTGACTGGCACTGATGGGTGGCATTGAAAGGCAGCTCAGATGGGCACTGATATGTGGCATTGATGTGCACTGGTATGCACTGATATGTGGCATTGATGTGGCACTGATGGGCACTGGCACGTGGCACTGATGAGCACTGACTGCTGGCACTGATGGACACTGACAGGTGGCACTTCTGGGGCCACACTGATCATCAGTGCCCTGATAATCAGTGTACATGTCCCCTCCGCGAAAAGCCGATTACCGGCTCTCCTCTCCTCTCGAGCTGTCAGCGTGACAGCTCGAGAGGAGAGAATTGCCAATAACCGGCATTTCCGTGTTTACATGTGATCAGCTGTGATTGGACACAGCTGATCACATGACCGAGCCGACATCTTCGGCTCTTTCCGTGATTCGCTGTGTCCGAGGGACACAGCGCACCGGCGATCGCCGTGCTGCATGCTCCCTGAGCCGCGCATGCGCAGTGAGAATGGAAGGACGTCATATGACGTCCTATCAGAACGAGAGAACCACCTTGCGCCCGTCATTGTACTATATGGCGGGTGGAAGGTGGTTAAAGGCTTGTTTACATATGCACTAAAGACTACCACTCCTCTCGCAGGCTCCACATTCAGATCACTTTTCAGAGGCATTTGAAAACCTAAAGGTTGCACTACCATGGAGATTACACGCTGTTGCAAAGCGATGCTCCATTTACCTGAATGGGTCCAATTTGGAGAGCAGTAGTGCGTGCCAAATGCTACAAAGTGTTTAATTCCTGTCACGACCCCTGCATGTGTACACCCCCGGCCACTGCATTTCAGCTTAAACAACAGGTTCGACTGAACTTTATATAGTTTATTTGGACCAAGCTGGTACAAACAAACAATTTCTTTCACTAATACACTGAAGAAAATAAGTATTTGATCCCCTGCTGATTTTGAATGTTTGCCCACTCACAAAGAAATGATCAGTTTAAAAATCGAATGGTAAGTGTATTCTAACACTGAGAGACAGAATAGCAACAAAAAATTTAAAAGAAATGCATGTCTAACAAATTATGCACTGATTTGCATGTTCATGAGGGAAATAAGTATTTGATCCCCTATCATTCAGCAGGATTTATAGCTACCAGGTGCCTTTTATACAGATAACAAGCTGAGATTAGAAGCAGTCTCTTAAAGGGAGTGCTGCTAATCTCATTTTGTTACCTGTATAAAAGACATCTGTCCACAGGAGCAATCAAACAATCAGATTCCAAATTCTCCACCATGGCAAAGACCAAAGAGCTGTCCAAGGATGTCAGGGACAAGATTGTAGACCTACACAAGGCTGGACTGGGGATCGAATACTTATTTCCCTCATGAACATGCAAATCAGTGCATCATTTGTTAGACATGCATTTCTTTTGAATTTTTTGTTGCAATTCTGTCTCTCAGTGTTACAATACACCTACCATTCGATTTTTAGACTGATCATTTCTTTGTGAGTGGGCAAACATTCAAAATCAGCAGGGGATCAAACACTTATTTCCTTCACTGAAGGTGAAATTACTGTCAGTGCTGTACTGTATTATATGCAGCCTCAGCTAGATACAGTATACAGCAGTATGTTCCGGCAGCAGTACAAGAAATAAATACAAGGCTTCCTCTGTTTGACTGAGGTGGAGGCGTGGGTGGATGATGTCATGTTCTCCATCTCAGCCAATCAGAGGAAGCCTTGTATTCATTCAGAAAATACAAAACTTCCTCTAAATGGTTGAGCAGTGTTCAGCCCGACTTGATTTGGTCCCAGGAACGAGACAGGACGTCTACCTCCCGCTGCATGTTTTTACTGTCCCCAAACTAGAGTGTAAGCAAGCTCTTAAAAAGTTTAAATTTAAATATGAACAAAAAGCATTAAGCATCTGGCAAACTATTTACAGTCTTGACTGTCTTAATATCTATGTGCTTATTAGTGGGTAATCATAAAAGTAATTACACACACAACCAAGCAAGTTCAACAGCTTTTCCTAAGGCCAATTTAAATCTGTTCAACAGATCTTACCTGGTCATTAGGATATTCTCATATGGGGCATTCTTCCCTTGTATTTACTGTACATTCTGGACCAGCCATTCTCTGAGTGGAACACTGCTCATTCTCTGCAAATATTAAGCAAAAGGTTTATTATCTTTTCTCTTTCAGCTACCAAACATAATACCTTTTCCTTGCTCCTATAGCTTGATGGCTTACCCAGGGGCGGACTGACCATTTGGAAACTTGGGCACTGCCTGAGGGCCTGGGGTCAGTAGGGGGCCCCATGAGATGCCCCTGGTACCTTTTTCATAAGCTTTTTTGAGTTTGGGCAAGGACACAGGGGCCCCATGATCCCCTATTGCCCGGGGGCCCCATGGGTTGTCAGTCCGCCCCTGGGCTTACCTGTTCTGGGTCAGTGAATCAGCAAGTACTGAAGCCCAAGGATCAGCATAAAAGCCAAGTAACTAGAATTTTCAAGAGGTAAGCAATAACAGTGTATGTGTTTCTCTCATGACAGATGTTTTTTAATCACTTGCTACCACTCTATATCTGAAAGACAGTTCTGGGAGGACGTCCATGGATGTCTTCTCATGTGTGTGCCTCCCTCGTGCCCCCTGGGTTGCGCGTTGGGCGTGCTCTGTGACCGCTGTGCCCATCAATGCTGCCTCATCAGTGCCGCCTCAATGCCCATCAGTGCACATCATTGAAGAAGACAAATTATTTATTTGCAAAGTTTTATAACAGAAACTAAGCAAAACATTTTTTTTTCAAAATTTTCCATCTTTTTTCAGTGGTGATAAAATACCACCAAAAAAAAATAATTTGTATGAAAAAAAGATAAAAATTTCATATGGATAGTGTTGCATGACTGCACAATTGTAATTCAAAGTGTGACAGCACTGAAAGTTGAAAATTGGCCTGGCCAGGAAGGGGTGAAAGTGCCCGGTACTGAGTTGGCTAATTATCATTCTTTTTTAATATTCATATGCTTTTTTTAACTTTACCTTTTTAATCCTTTTTTTTCATAACATAAAATATCAATTTCATATAACCTATGCCAAATAACATAGCATATAGGTATGACTTGATATACAGTATATCCAAAGAAAAAAAATCTATAATGGACATATAGGACTTTTAAGGCATCAACACAGACAGATATGTGTGATAAAAAAATGTGCTTTATTATAACAACATACCTCCCTTTCTGTCCCTCTACTCATTTGAAGCTCACTGTACTCGTCTATTCTCTTCAGTTTCTTTGAGAATTGCTGTGATCTATCAGCCTCCTGGTCAGGTATCAAGCTTCCTTGCTGACTTCTCGGCCTGGCTACCCTACTTTCTCTCTTCTGAAATTCCCACAATCATTGTCAGTGATCCCTGTTAATAATAACACTCCAGCTACTTCAAAACTTCCCAGCCTAATCTCCTCTTTTGACCTAAAACAATGGACACATGCTTCTACTTACTTTGATGGCATCTGCCTTGACCTTGTATTCTCCTATCTTTTGCACTCCCTGTAACCTCTCCGACAATCCTTTTCCCCTCTTTGATCACTACCTTGCTAGTTTCACTCGCTCCTTCTTCCTCCTCCTTTCCCTCCAACCACCTAACAGTTACCTGTAGAAACCTTTGCCATCTTAACCTGTCTCTTCTCTTTTCTATAACAAACAGTCTCTATTACAAAATATCACCCTTGTCCCCAACCTAGTCACTCCTGTCTACAACAGTTTACTCTCATCCTCTCTGAACACACTACCCCTCACACTACACACAGAATCAGGCCAAGACAGCTACAACCCTGGCAAACAGACAACACCGGAAGTCTCAAAAAAAACAAAGCCGCACTCTTGAATGTATGTGGTGTAAGAACAAATCCCAGTATGACTTCAACCAATATAAATTCGAGCCTTCCAAGAATACAATTCCTGCCTCCAAACTGCCAAACAGACCTCATGTAGTCCCTGTCAACTCTTTTCAGCCATTAACTCTCTACTTTTCCTTCACTACCTCTACTGTCTAGTTCACTCACTGCCCAGGAGATTGCAAATCACTTAAAAATAAGATTGATACAATTTGTGACGAGATCTCCACTGTACCGATATCTCCTGCACCATACATTCCATGCACACTCAGTACTTCCCCCTGTAGCCATATGAAATGTTATCATTTTTTTGAGACAGATAGAGCTTTCTTTTGGTGGTATTTAATGACCACTGGGTTTTTTATTTGTTGTTTAAACAAACCAAAAACAACAGAATTTTTTAAAAAAAAAGTTTTTTTTCTTAAGTTTCTATTATAAAATTTTGTAAATGAGTAATTTTTCTCCTTCACTGATGTGCACTAATGAGGCTGCAGTGATTGACACTGATAGGCTGCACTGATGGGCACTGATAGGCGACACTGAAAGGCACTGATGAGGAGGCACTGATGGGCATTGACAGGCATCACTGGTGGGAATTCAGACATAACTGACGGGCACTGAAAGACAGTACTCATATATGACAGGCGGCACTGATAGGCAGCACTCACTGGCACTGACTGACACTGTTAGGTGGCACTGACTGGAACTATTAGGTAGCACTGACTGGAACTGTTAGGCGGCACTGACGGGCACTGATAGGCGCCACTGATTGGCAGCACTCATAGGCGGCACTGATAGGTGGCACTGACTGGCACAGATAGCTCAGATGTGCACTGATATGTGGCATTGATGTGCACTGGTAGGCACTGATATGTGGCATTGATGTGCACTGATGGGCAATGACAGGTGGCATTGATGGACACTGACAGGTGGCACTGATGGGGCTACACTGATCATCAGGGCATTGATCATCAGTGCCCTGATGATCAGTGTAGATGTCCCCTTTGAGGAATGCTGATTACCAGCTCTTCTTTCCTCATGAGCTGTCAGCGTGACAACTCGTGAGCAGAGAAATGCCGATAACCAGAATTTTCCTTATTTACATGCGATCAGCTATGATTGGACACAGCTGATCACATGACAGAGCCGAAGTCATCGGCTCTTTCAGCTCATCGGTGATCCGTTGTATCCCAGGGACACAGTGCACCCTCCCGATCGCCACGCAGGGGCGCGCATATGCGGTTAGAGTGGGAGGACATCATATGACGTCCTCCCAGAATGAGAGAGAATCACCGCGCTCCCGTCATTTCCTTATATAGCGGGCGGGAGGCGGTTAATATTCAAAAGCAAACTAACTTGCCCATCCATGTCTCCATGCTTTATTTTTTTTGAGAAATCACTTGGAAAAACATCCCCTAGCATTTTTCTCTGTGGCCATCTTGAG